AACCGACATCCCTTCCCTAGACCAGACCAGTGCACACGTGGAAACACAAAAAAGGGGTGTGAATTCCGTTAACCCTTTCCAGCCTGAGGGAGCTCAGAGCAGGGAGGGGGGGGAAACACTCGTTCCCAGGGTGGGAGAACCAGCCTGGCAGGAAAGTTGTGATGCCTCGGGAATGGGAGAGAAGAGGGACTGGAGAGGGTTAAGGGATCCAGCAGGATCCGTGTCCCCAGCACCCTCGGAGCACGCAGAGCCTGCATGCCAACCCTGGCTTCTCCCACTGACTGCCTGGGGAGGAATCTGGGGGGGCCTCCAGGGCCCCCAACAGCACAAGGGGAGCGGTGAAACCCCGATCCCAATCCCAGCCCAGGCCGTGGGTTGTCACTTAGAGCCTTAGACAGCTGTAGGTCCCTGTCCCGTAACCGCGCTTGGGTTTTTCTGGGGCTTCAGCCCCCCCCCCCCTTTTTTGTTTTCCTCCCCTTTAGGGTCTAGAAGTGCTTGTGTTGAGTAAAAAAAAAAAAAAAAAAAACAAAAAGAAAACAAAAAGGGAGAAGCCCAAACGTTCAAAGCTGCTCAGTGTTCTCTTTGCCATGAAGATTCCGTGTAACCGTGTGATCACATTATAGGATTCTCTTCTGTCCCAAGGTGTTGGTCTGACTTCCTTTGTTTTCAGGAGGGGGGTGGGGGTAGTGCCTTGATCACTGTCGGTCTCTGCAGGGAGACCATCCTAGAAGCTGTATTTCCATATAGCACAGCTGGGAGTGTTCGGACTTTACCAGCAACAGAAACAAAACAAACAAACGAAACAAACAAAACAACAACAAAAAAAAATGCTTAAAAAAAGTAAAAAAAAAAAATAAAAAAAATGGCTTTTCCGAGCCAGTCCTGTGCACGGGATCCAGGGGAGAGGGAGGACTCGGGTGGTCACTCAAGGGAAGGACACCTGGAGAGGCAGGAGGGAGGCCTGGAGCAGCTGCCCGCTGGGCCACGTGTGCCCGAGGGCACTTTCTCCAGGTTTTTGGGAGAAGCTGTTGGATCTGGGAGTGCACTGAGGGGTGGTCGAGACCCCGGTGGGCTCGTCCATCCCCGATTCCCGGGATCCTGACGCGCGAGACGAAGCACAAAGTGGTGGAGCTGTGGGTGTGGGGAGGTTGGAAGGGAGGCCCTGTGCGTATGTTTTAAATTATTTTTCCTCTTAGAAAACTTTTTTCTTTGAATGGATCTGTGAACCTGTCAGGGAAAGAAGAGAGATTGTGTGAGCACAGGACAAAAATAAAAACGGCTTATTCACTGTACCACCCTCGGCTCCAGGGGTTTTTATTGGATATTTGGATGATTAAACATGGCAGGGAAACCAAGCAGGGACCTTCTTCCCCCCCAACAGCAGCTCCTGGCTCGGGGCTGGGAGCAGCTCCAGTTCCAGCAGTGGGTTGGGAGGAGGGAGTCGCTGTTGTCCTGCAGGGGATGGATGGAAAGAGAAGGAAAAGGAAAAGCTCCTCCTCTGCCTCAGCTGCTTCCTTCCTTCCTTCCATCCTTCCTTCCTTCCTTCACAGCAGGGTCTTCCCAGAGAAATCCAAGGAAAAGCATGCTCCTGGTCAAACCTGCAGGTCCCTGAGGCCGAGTCCAATCCCTCTCCTTGGAATCTGGACTCCCAGGACAAAGTGTCCTGTCCTCCCGTTGGCCTTTGCAGCTCCTGGGGCTGTTCCACACATCCCACCTTCCCTGCAGCTCTTGGAGACTGAGCCGAAGTGTATCCGATCCTGAGGGTGTTTCTATCCCAGCTCCTGCCCTATCCCTCTCCCTGTGGGATAATAAATCCTGGCCAGGAGCGAGGACACCAAACCTTCCATCTCTGGAATGTTTCCAACTCCTCAATCCTGCAGTGGAGCCCCTGGAGGGGCATTTTTGGGTGGTGCTGGGGGGGTCCCTCCAGGAGACCCCACACAAGCCAGGGATGGAAAGCTGCTCCTGGGAATTGCTGGTGTGGAATTGGCATTTTGGATGCCATCCTGGTGCCTCCACACCCCGTCATCTCCACGTATTTTGTCCTTGCAGATCCCTTTCTCCAGGGGTTTTTGTCCCCACGGCCTCCCACGCCCAGAAGATCCGGCCAAAATCACACTTCCAGCCCCACTCTGCTCCCCAACAGCCTCCAACGGGTGTTCCCGTGGGCCAGATGCCCTTTTCCTGCAGATCAAACCTCTCCCTGCAGGACTGGAAGGATCCATCTCCTCCTGGTGCTGGTGCCAAGGGGGATGAGGAGCATTAAATCCACGCTCTGAGGTGCTTCCCCTCCCTCTTCTTGGGCTCCAGGGGATTTATTCCAGACATTCCTTCAGGGGTTGGGTTAGGACACAACCCCAGCTGGCAGAGAAGCCCTCAGGGATTCCCCCACCCCTGTGATGGTGCGAGGAGGTCTCAGCCCTTCCGAGGGGGAGCAGAGGAGGGACAGGGGGGTCTGGGGAGGATCCACTGCTTGTTCCCAGGCCCTGCCCCTGTGCTCACCCGGGTCATTCCTGGTGCACAAACAGCCCAGCGAATCCATGGGGAGGCTCTGAAGGGTGTCCCAGCCCTCCCAGGCTGGCAGAGCCTGCTCTGGCTCCCTGCCTGTGCCCAGCCCAGCGTGGGGAGCTCAGCCAGTCCCTCCCCTGGGCCCCCTGCCAGCCCACACTCAGCCCTTTGATTCCCAAGCAGGAATCGTTGGGGCTTCCAGCAGGGCCTGGGAGCTCTGATCCTGCTCAGAGCCCTGGCCCAGCCCTCGGATCCAGGGCCAGCTGCTCCTGAGCCCCCAGCCCGGGCTCTGTGGGGACACAGAGGGGCTCCCCTGCCCTTCCCTGCCCTTCCCTGCCCTTCCCTGCCCTGCTCCAGCTCCGACCTGGAGCACTGATCCTGGGGAGAACCCCTGTGGATCTCCCCCGGTCACGAGGGGATGTTTTCCTGGGCCTTGGTTTCTCAGGAGGGGCCACAGCAGGTCCCCAAAATCCTGCAGCTCCCAGCAGAACCCTCAGAGCCCTCAGAGCCCCCCTCCCAGCCCCAGGATGGAGCAACCGGCAGATTCCAGCGACCTGGATCGATCTCCCAGAGCTCCCCTGGGACCTGCAGCCTCTGATGCTCAATTAAGTGGACATTACCCTGGCCCTCTCTGGTGATTAATCCAGGTTTAATTGCTGCTGCTGCTGCTGGGCCAGGGCAGCATCTCCTTGTCCTGCCAGGTACAGGCTGTGCTGGCACAAATAACCTGGATTTCAACTGGCTCCCTCAGGAGTTCTGCAGCCCCTGTTCCACCCAAAACCTTCCTGCTCCATCCTGCACCCCTGGAAACACCAGAACCTCTGAGTCAGGAACCATCAGCCTCCCTCAGGAACCACCAGAACCCGGGACTGACTCTGCTCTTCACGCCCAGGAGCTCAGGGCCTCCAGCACATCCACACCAGGGATGGAAGGAGCCAAATCACCTCCTGCCAAACCAGAACCACTGCCAGAGCCCTAAAAACCCACCAAAACCACCAGGTCTGCTCCAGGTGTGGGTGAGAACGGAATTAAAGGCCACTTACCCACCTCTGGAGCCGGATCCTGGCCGGGAACACCCTCCAGCAGCATCTTCCTACACCAAAGCACGTCCCAAACCACAGCTACTCCTCCTGTCTCCACGGCTCAGGGCTCTGCCTAAACCTCTCTCCTCCAGGTGGAAGCCAAAAAAAATCAGGACCAGCCGCTCCAGGACCTGCTGCCACCTCTTCCAAAGCTCCAGGGGAGCCACCAGCTCTCCTGGAATCCGAGCTAACCCGGCTCAGGGAGCACCTTCCTGCTCTACCCCATCACGCCCAAAGAGAGGATGGAGGAAAGAGCCGAGGGTAGAGAAGATAAAAACAAACAAACAAAGAAAATAAATAAATTAAAAAGGAAAAAAAATAATAATCAGGATTATAAATCTAAAATTTTATTGAGACAAAAAAACTGACAGAGCTCGGTATGAAGTTAAAATCCAAACACGTACTTTACATTTAAACGACGTTTTCACAGAAACCTAAAAGCACACGAAATCTTTTTTAAAAAAAGGTTTGTACAATGCAGGTCTAAAGAGAGAGATACCGCCCCAAGGAGGAGGTGCCAGGACTCTGGTGGGGCTCAGGACTCCCCCCCCCCCCAAAAAAAAATTAAATAAGTTTCAGTATTTGTAATAAATCTGAGGGTTGGGTGTTTTTTTTTTTTAAATTGAAGGAAAAAAAAAAAAATCAAACCCTTCCAAAGGTTTCGGGGCTCTGGCACCGACCTCCCCCCAAAAACCACCTCTTTGGGGGTAAGATGGGATTGAGGGGGGTTGGTTTGGTTTGTTTTTTTTCCTTGTGCTGCTGTTGGGTTTTTCCCTCTCCCTCCCCCAGCTCCCTGTGCTGCTTGGGCTGGACACAACAAATCACTGGGACAAAAAGAATGAGAGTGCTCAGAAGTTCTCTTTCCCCTCCCTCCCCAACCCCATATAATTTTGGTTTTTTGTTGGTTTTTTTTTTTGAGAAATAGCACCTTAGAACGGAAAGAAGGGTAGAAAAGGCTTGAAAAGGGTTAAGATCCATCCCCCTCCCTCCCACCCCCCCCATACAATGCATGTGTCAGGAACTGGCAGTTCTGCTGCAGGACAATACAGAATCACAAGTTGGCATTTTCACAAGTCTCCCCCCCCCCCCCCCCCCCCCCCCCCC